CAGGGCACGGGGTGGCTCTTCCTCCGCGGGGCGGGCTGCTGGCCCTGCCCCGGGTGGCACAGCCGCTGCTGCTGACCCCTTGTCCGGGTCCAGACACGAACCGCGGCCAGCGCCGAGCGTCCCCGTGGCGGTCAAACAGTTCTCGCTGCTTGCTGCTGATGCCTGGAAAGGAAATCGAACTTTCCAAGGCTCGTTCTGGAGTTTTGGAAAGCGGCATTCTTTATTGCAGCGCTGGGTGCACGGGGGATTTCTCCTCCTAGCGGGCACACCCGGCTTCCGGGCAGAAAATTAGTTATACGCCACGGTCATGCATAATTCATAACATATTTACATATTCTTAAACAATTGCTTAATTTTCTCTCGCTTACGTGTAAATTACTTCGCATGCTCAGTTCTCCTCCTCCGCCCCTTTTTTGGGTCTGGGGTGTATTTAGGGGAGGTGGTCCATGAGTCGGTGGTCGCGATCTCCCCCTGCTGGAATTACCTTTTCCCTCAAGTCACTGCATGTTCACAGTTCAGAAAAACATGAGAACAAAGTTTATGCGGTTTCTGGGATGTTCCCTCCAAGGGCAGACAGTTCTGGATAAAGAGTCTCCTTTTTAGTCACTCCTGACAGCTTCAAGGATGCTCATCTTGTTAGTTTCTTTAGGTACGTGTAAATCACCTGCTGCCAACTAAACCCTTCACGGAAACTCTTGCACAAAAACTTTGACCCCTTTGTTGTTGGGTAACACTGCTGTGAGTCCAAGGTGATGGTTGCTTTTCTCCTCACAGGGATTATCTATGATGTGATCGTGGAACCTCCCAGCGTGGGGTCGATGACAGATGAACACGGACATCAGAGACCGGTGGCCTTCTTGGCATACAGGTAGGAAGAGCAAGTGAGGTGCTGCAGATGCCTAAACGCAAGTGAATAAACTACAGAGCTGTGGCTCTGCTTTTTTTTTTGAGCTCTCTGTGCAAAGCAAGATCTGTTCTATATCAGTCCTTGGTTTGCAAATATATAAAAAAAACCCCACAAAACAAACAAATAAAAAACCAACAACAGAAAGCAGCATTGAAATCAAGGGAAATAGAAAAGCTCAGTCCTTCTAAAACGGTTAATAATGAAAAGTCTGGTAAGAAAGAAGTTTTGAGGTGGCAGTACTTCTGTTTCTTGTCCTTGCTATTAAAGTTGAGTTTTGTAGTAGATGCAGACACGTTTGGTCATATTTCATAGCAGCATACATAGTGTTTGTGAAACTTTCTTTTCTGGCCTTGTAAACTCTGATGTAATTGGGGCTCTTGTATCTGAGGGTGGGGAACACAGTTGGAAATGTGAAACAACAGTGCCGCCTTCGAGTCTTTTACTTCTGTTACTGAAAATAAGCTGGTGACTGCTAAGTAACAAATGGGCCTCAAGCGGGTTAAGTCTACATTTGTAGCTGTGTTTTTTTGTTTGTGGAAACAAATAATGGCTTTTGCTGAATACCAAAAAAGTTCTTTGAATCTGTGACATTCCTCATGTGCAGATTTTGACTCGGACTCGATGTAGTGTATGTCTCAGACTGGCTTGGATTGTGGCAATGTGGATGAATCAGGCTATTGCAGGGAGTCGATAGCACTTTAGTACAGTTCAGTATAAATAACATGAAAGAAGATGAAATTGTGTTCAGGATATGAGATGACAGTGATAATCTTAATTTCTGTGTTAGCATCTGCAGTAGTTTCATCCATGCCAGTTTTATGAGGTTGCTAGTATTGCTAATTGCAAGGATAGGAACAAGGTTCGGTGACTGTGGGAAGCAGGAGGCTCAGATACAGGTGCAATGTTCTTTCTGCATCTCGGCTTCCCCTCTCTCCACCTGAGCTTTGCAAGAAGGAAGTCTGGCAATGTGGACAGACAGGGATCTGGGGCGCTTTCAGGCTGGGTCCCTGCAAACCTCAGCGAGCCGGTGGCAAAACATACTGCAGGCAAGAACTGCTTTTGCTGTCTGCTGGGACCAGTAGATGTACTTCAAGCGCTGACATAACGCTTCGAGTGAGATTCATGCTGAGATGAGGATTCAGGTACTGCTGCCTAAACGGGGATGGAAATAAGGCTTGGAAAGCTCAGTGGCCCAGGGGTCATGGTTCCATGCCCGGAGTCATCAGTTGCTATTTTGGACCAGATATTTCTGAAAACTGAGGAGTTTGCCTAGTAGCCATTAGTATACACTATTAGGTGTAGAACCACTAATACGCTGATCACCTTGCAGACTATCAGTCTTGGAGATAAATCACATATTGAAGCCTCAATGTAGTTGCATAACATCAGTTTCCATACCCACTTTTTGTTAGAAAGTCAGCCATCAAAGTTAATCATCCTGTGTATTTGTACAGTTAAACCAGGTTGGGTAGATGGAGTTTGAAATGTAAATAGTTTCTTTAAAACTAATCTTTTCCTGATTATCTCTTCTTCCCTTCCTCTTTTTATTTTTCTTTAGGGTAAATGGGCAATATATTATGGAAGGGCTTGCGTCCAGCTTCCTCTTCACAATGGGCGGCCTGGGATTCATAATTCTGGATCGATCCAATGCACCAAATATCCCCAAGCTGAATAGGTTTCTCTTGCTCTTTATTGGATTTGTCAGTGTGCTTTTGAGCTTCTTCATGGCCAGGGTTTTCATGAGGATGAAATTACCGTAAGTTATTTAATACTCTTTCAGCTTTTCTTCTCTCTTGTGATATGTGTGTGCCTGTGTTAAATGTAAGAGTAACAGAAAATACGACAAGGTGTGCTAAAGATCTTCAGCTTGGCTATAAGTTACTTTTTTCAACGCTTTTTTGGAACAAGCTACCTTGAATGAGGTGGAATGCTTTTGGGGCCAGCTATTGTAAGATTGTGCTGTGGTTAAAAAAAAGTGACAGTTTCTGGTATGTCAGAAGCTGTGATTAGTGAGTCTGACTTAGAATGAATTCTAAGGTAGACCGATTATGTACTGGTCAGGTAAATCAATTACAAAGTAGGGCTTTGAGGAAAAAGCAGGTGTCAAAGAACTTGAAGAAAGGCAAGTGAGTACTTTATAGTGACAGCATCCATGAGAGATCGTAACTAGAAGAACTGATGGCAGCTGTAACAAGTGTTCAGAAACATCCAAAGCAGCCCTAAAGTAAAGATGATGTCTCGTGGTTTTTTTTTGTTGCGGGAAAACTGAACGTAACACTGAAGCATACAATATATGTAACATTTTAATACACCTATATTCACAGATCAAAAAGTAGGAAAGGTGTGGAGCTTTCAAGCTATGCAAAATCCAAGTGCAGGACTTTCAATTTTTTCCTCCTTCTTTATTTCTTAGTCCATGTGTGTTAAGCGTCTTATTTCTTAGTACACGTGTGTCTTAACAGTTCTCTTTCTTAAACTCATTAAAGAAACAGAGAAATGGAAGAGAAAAAGAGACTAGAGTTGTGTTGAGTGCCAGAAAGTGTCGGGTTGTACTGAATATCTTAACACTGGTAGTTTGTGTAAAAGGTAGAAATACAGAACCTTTCGTAGGGTGCAACCTGGGCTTCAAAAATTCCAAACAATTACTGAAGCTGGGTTGAGAACAGGCTAATCCATGTTCAGTGTTCATTGAAGAAAATCAGCTGAGGAAGGAACGTGTAGTTAAGCTGGCCAGTTTGTACCTTGGACAGAATTTATTGTTTTAATAGCCTTGATCAGCAATTTTTGGCAGTCTGAAGTTTTTGTTGTAAGACCGTGTGTCTCGATTTTTGCGGAGCGCTGCCTGTGTTTGCTAACTTTTTTTCTAACTTAATTTTTTTCTGTAGGGGCTACTTGATGGGTTAGTACCTCTTGTGATGTGTGAAAGCCCGAGCTGAATTTACTCCTCTCATGAAGTGTTTGAGAAGCAGCAGCAAGGAACAAATTCCATAGTCACCATCAACAGGCAAGAGACCTGTCCATGAGGATCAACTGGGGAAA